GGAAAAATTGGTGAACTATTCATGCTTTGTAAACCACAAATCCAGTGACTACCACCTTTAGTGAATGTTGCTAATAAGTGGAGAACACTGAGTTAGTAAAAGGGCGCAGCGTTAGAATGCAATAACCATTAGATTGGTAACAAAGCGATTGATTGCATTCGTATTACCTAATTTCTGTTTGTTATTCCAACTAGCTGTCATTCAAGGAATTAGTGCCTTTCTTTTAGTGCTCCATAAACATAATCTGCGATTTGAAATGTACATATTTTCAACAGTTATGAACTAAACACAGAAGTTTTATCATTTCGGATGAAATTCTATCCCCTACTCTTTATAAACTCCGCAAGAAGAGCTGTTGATGTGGGAAACTAAACACAGACGACAGTGGAACCGGTGGCGAACACATCATGTGAAACAGGGGGCTAAACGTGGATCCGTTGTCGATAAAAATTTCCTGCAAATGTCAAAATGCTAAATGTGGAGAAGAACCGTAATGAAAAATCTTGGCGGCTAAAAACCCGTTTGACTAAACAAGCACTGATGCGGTTCTGATTGAGATCTAAGGTTAAACGATCTGATTCTTTTCTGTAATACGTCATGCTGAAATGTTATTGGAAACCGCCACTGCTAAAAAAACGTTCTTGAATTGCTTAGTATCAAAAGCGCAAACTTTCGTTCATGCGGTGCGACAGATGTCGCAATTATACGGTGGCTATCGAAATGAATGCTGCACTCCGCATGGTCAGTGGTACTTCGAAACTACGCGGTTAACGTGTCTCTCGGTATTTCAAACATCACAGAAATTTTTTTTAGACAGGAGCTTCTATAATCTGAAAATATGGAGAAGAAATTGGCAAGCGTGGGCCTACCCATTTACCGTAAAGGAGTCTTGAGCCACTTATTCGACTCAAATCCTCCAAATCACTCTGAGTCCATGGTAGCTTGTTGGTGGCGACAAACGAGACGGACATGAACATCCACTAGACCAAATCTGTGCTATACCTGACGTTTCAAGCAAGAGCTTAATTCGAATTCAACCAAGAAGATACTGGGCTTTTGCTGACCGCGGTCACCGTTGATAATACTCAAGTTCTTCGTACAAGGCATGGCCAGCGCAAATACCTTTACCGTAAATAGATTATGGAAGAATTGCTTCCTATAAATGTGATGAGGCGAACAAGTAGCCCGATCGACTGCTCTTGATGCTTTAGAGTGATAATCGTGACTATATTTGGAACACTAATGCATTATAAGAAAATAAATTGATCAGTTTGTGCCTACCTCGGTTGTCTTGCTAAAAGCAACAAAACAGTCGACACGTAGAACACAAGTACATCAGGCTTGTCTTGATGCTAGAAGTCAGATGGCTAGTACAATATATCAGTAAAAGAACAAGGCATGCATTTCATCTGTATCTAGATCACGAATCTCCTGCAAATCGTGATTCGCAGTCGATAGTTGAAATATCAGCCGCAGAGCTTTCTAACTGAGACAAATTCATATGCGGCTGGTAAGGTCTGTGAGGCACAGACGGATGAATCAGTGGGTGGTTTGTTGTCATAATAAGCGAATAATGACGTGTAGCTAGGCATTTAACAAATCCTCAAGTCTGCTGTTCTCAACGCTAAATCACAACATCTGATCACAGCGATTTTTTGCAATGGCGAATTCATGGCTTGTCAAGTGGCTATAATCGGACGACATGGGTTGATGTCAGATTTTATTGAATTCCACTTACAGCTAAAAATGCACTTAAAGCCTGTTCTGACCTTATTGCTTGACGAAGCAATTCCAACTGAATGATCTTAATGCCATGTAAGCACAGCTTTGATCACTGATCAAAGTACTTGCATGTTTGCCGAGAACAAGTGCAGCACATTCGTGATTTATTATTATGCATGCATCAGCCTCTACGTGTCGATCCCTGCGTTTTGAATTGTCTGGCAAACTACTTCCCTGCAAGTGTCAATACGTGAATGTGGGAAAGAACCATTTAAGTGACTTTCGTAAATAGTCTCGCTGCGGGAAGAGTCCCGTTTTCTCAGCTCTGATATTCAGCATCTTCACCAGGTATCGTTAATTCAGTTTTAGAAATCATCAATGAAAATATATTAGTAGTGTCGCTGAGTACTTCCGCAAACTGAAGTGATATAAGGTTGCGGTTGCAGGCATGATCACGCGATTTCCACTTGCGTTAAATGTTTCGGAATCGTCAGCATGTGTGCATGTGATGAAATATTCAAACAAGTCACGTGTCATAGATTTAGTTTCTGGACGGTTGCTTGTGGAAGATCAGAAAAACTCAAAACGCAAAATATGATGGTGTTGTGATGTCGTTTGACCTCACATGACACCAGCATATCCAATTCTCGTCTAAGAGGTATCGTCGTTCTCGCGTTGTGTCAAACACATTTACAATCTATGCGTTCCTAAACAAATAAACTACTAATAAACATTTTTATATGCATTATAACGCCATACGCCTATGTATCTGCGATCATTTTCCCTTATCTCCTGCATGTGACTTTGTGATACTGAAACGATCGTTGAAGGCAGTCTCAAGGCAACGTTTCCTGTCTTAGACACACTTAGTTATTCACATCGTTGATCAATCAATCGCAGAAGGAGACCGCACTGCCAGGAACGTTCTTGACAACGATTTTCCTCTTCCGCGTGACAGTCTATAATAATATTCGCTGTGCCTGTCCTTGACTGGAGCGTAACGAATGTCTTATCTTAGGGCGTGGTTTATGGCAAATTGTTCATCGTTTGTCCAACTTGCCCCTCATGATATCAAACGACTTCTTTCAATATTTTCAAATGCTGTAATAGTTCTAATTGTTTTTACAGTGATTCTTATTACTAACTTTTGCTCCAATTATCTTTGGCTCATTAACTAGTTCGACTAAATTCCGATGGTTCCATTCCAATGTCCGTGTGCCAAATATCTGGGTATTGTACACTTACAACGTTCGTCGAACAGGTTACCTCAGTAGATGTGGAGATTATGAAAAGGAGGTAGCCGCAGTAGATAAACTGGTTCAGCATAAGCGCAATAGTCCAGTCCATGAGTTTCTCGTGTGGGAGTAGAGGACCAGCATGCAACCTGGAGAAACAAGGTAGAGACAGGTTTGCTTTTGAAGAGGAATGTTTCCTTATACGATGCAGTATCCGTTGCCTCGTATTAAAAATTTTAAATGGCGCAAATACAGCCGGTATCAAAAACAAGGGACACTCTACTTATACAAAGGACCAAGGAAATAATATCAACTAGCACACACAAATATCAGCTTACAGTATGTAGCTGTAAACTAGCAGTCCAGTCGACTCTACTGATCATCACCATCAGCCTTTGTCGATCCTTTTCTGGATGAAAGCCTTGCCAAGACTTTGCCATAGATTGCTGCCGTCTGCCATTTTAATCCATCTTGATCCAGCAAATAATTTAGTTCCTCATGCCATCGATCTCTAGGTCTTCCTATGGCTGGTTTACCTTCTCTTGGAACTCAGTCTAATTTTTCCCTGATCCAGCAACTGTAGGTTCTTCTGCATTGCCAGTTTAACTGCTGCACTCGGACCGTGATATCGCAGATTTTCCTTTGCGCTGTTGCCTATTTTTTCGTCTTCCTACCTTTTCTTGTAATTTTCAACATATATCTTTCAATGCGGCGTTGCGTAGTTTGCACTTTGTGGTACCTTTCAGGTATATGGTACGCGTTCCGCACCTATAGGTAAGTGGGAGCACACACTGACTGAAAACTTTCTGTTGTAAGCACATGGACAGTTTCCTGAATAGCAACATTTTGGGCCTTCTGTAAGTGCTCCGTCATTTCCATATTTCTTCTAATTTCACACAGCCAATTCTCCGTTACAGAGATGAGCTGTTTCAGATATATAGTTTGTAAGTCTAAGTCCGTTGATTTTCACAGGTTGCGTAGTCACTAATTTGTAGAAAATGACTTAAGTCTTCTTCAGGTGCGTTTTCAGTCCTATTTTGATGCTGGCGTCCAGCAGTGCATGGATTCTACTTTAGAGTCCTTCAGGTGACCATGGCAAAATCAGGATATTGTCCGCAAGCCGCAGGTGGCTTAAGTTGTGTTCACTTATGCTCAGCACCAGACTTTTCTAATAGAGTGTCTTGAAAACAACTTATTGGGCCGCTGAGAATAACCTGGACGCTCCGTTTGAGTTTGAACTAGCTTCGTAGTGCTTCACACTACGTGCTACGTTCTTGTAAATCATGACGATCAGGTTTACGCTGCATCTTTCTCAATTCCCTCACTCTTCAACCAATGCAGTACTTAACGGAAGTAAACTGGATCGAAAGCTTTCTCGAAATCGATGAACGTTAGACAGGGCTAAAGATGATATTCGTTGCATGTTTAAATTACTTGTGTCATCTGGAGACGATCCACTTTTGAATCCTGTTTGCTCTTACGACTGGTCATCGTTCAGCTGTTCTTGAAGACTGTTCGCTGGTACCTTCGTGAAGATCTTGTAAACGATTGACAATAAACTGATAGGCAATTCCATTCAAGCAATAAAAGCTCCTAATTCAAAATACGGTGACCTCTGCACGTTTGTAATAAACGAAAGCGTCTCAACGTTGTCAACGATTGCACAATTAAGGCTCGAATGCACTGAACCACTTCTTGATTCGTATTTTTAAGCCTAATGTTGTGGGCTTAGCCGTGACTGGGCATCCGAACCGTTGCGATCGATCGTTCTCATGCATCTCATCATCTGTCGATGCTTTTCATCGGTAATGAGAGTGTAACGAGAGATTCGCAACATTTTCGTGTCACACGTAGTTGATTGTTCGACCTCGATTTATGCAAACGAAAGTCGGAATGCTACGTGCCCCGGTCGAGCGGTTAACGCTGAGGCATCTGTCTGCACGGAGTTACAACAGTCGATGACGCGATGTTAAGCAACAGTGACTCGTTCACTGCGACGTGGTTGAGTAGGAGACCGCCAGCCCACTTGGGAATACGACCGCAATGATTTACGAACGCCGTAGCGAAAGGAAGTCAGTCATCGATCAACGGCCACTGCGCGGGCGAGGTAGCACGCTTACCGATTTTACATTTCGTTCCTCATGCGGCACAGTCAAGCAACTACGCGCAAAAATGGTAGTCGGTTCCGGCCACTTCCGGCCGCCCTCGCCGCCTCCTCCTGCCATCGGTGCGAACCATGCCGTCGTGCGAACGTGCACACATGAGGTCGTAGTCATAATCGAGTTCGTTCGTCAGAGGCTGAGAATGAGGCTGCTGACAACGCCTGACGACGGTGTAGACGCGCGTGCACTGCTAAACGACGTGGACATAATCGCCGGCCTTCATTTCGGACAACAGCCACGCTGGTCACCGTCGGAGGATTGCGAACACTGAGTTGGGCGATCACTGCAGGGCAGTGGCGATCACGGCAATCGCTGACGGTGACGAGTGAGTGCGGTTTGCCGTTTCCATTCGCCGTGGCCACCCATTTGCACGTTTACGCTGGCGGCGGCACAAGTTCGTCTCCGCACGCGATCATTAACCCTGGCTGTTCTGGCCGCAGGTTTGACCAATGGCTCGCAGGGTTTCGGACCGTACGATGACAGTTTCATTCTACCACGTAAGCTGACTTGACTGACATCCGTCATACCGCTAACATTATTTTGCACAGAAGCAAGGCACGTGATCATTCCAATCATTGCGTTTTCTGTCTGCCTTCCGGTTTTCGTGCTGGCGCTGTTCCGCACCATCAAACTGATTGCTAGGTGCGTGAATCAAGGTGAACCGACTGACCTCAGCCCCAGATGGTAATTGTGACGAGATTTCAGTTCTCTAAATGCCCGCCGCTCGATCATGTATCATGTTCTTCTAACACATTGTTTTTTCAGCCTTATATTTTATTCACACTCATTTCATTAACCTGTCTAACTTCCATTCTCACTGCTGCCTCTTCCACTCCTTTAATTTCTTACTAATTGATATCGGTTGACAAGTACGTACATATAAACTTGTTCAGGCGTTTTCCTTAAAATCGTGTACCTCTTCCTGAAAACGTTCGTGCTCATTGGTTCGCTTATCACTCAATAAGTTGAAAAACATGAAAGTCCATGCAACGCACATGCAATTCTGTTAAGTATAGGTTAAGGTTAATTATGTAAGTAAATAATCAGCATTGTCAGCAGGAAATCACCTCTTCTGACGGCGCATGTGCCACCTGTGCATAGCAACGTTGTTTAACCCGTTCAATCACTTAGGAGGGCGGTATTCAGCATTCAGGTAGATTGCACTTGTCACCACAATTTCCCCCTTCTTTTTAGTTCTCCTTTACTTCTAACATGGTTCATGTAAGACATAATATCGTTCCACTTTTTGTACGACAACCTGACACGATGCAACGAATGCCATTCGACTATGGTGGTTGTCCGTCGCTGGTCAATAAACCGAACTACGCACCTGGCCCATCGCACTGTGCTGTGCCTCTTTTCAAAATGACATATTTCCCTCCAGCTTTGCGGTCTAATCACTCCCTTGATATATACCGCGGCGTGCGATACCCAACTTGTTCATCTATATTTTTTCATGGTTCGTCACTACCGGGTCAGATGGTAATTTTTCTCTCTTCAGCGACCATGTTTCGTTGCCGTACAGTACCGCCAATAATATGATTGTGTTGAAGAGATCGGTCATTGTTGCTATGTCTGACTGCCCAATCGAAGAATCATTGATCAGCTGAATGGATGTCTGTTTGCTCTTCATCTGCACGAGATATCGGTGTTCTAAGCACGTCGCATTTTAACTTCGTGGCTCAAATTGACATAAATTTATACTATTGTGTAAACTCTTCATGAAATGATATTTGAACCTTCTGTAGTGCCATTGATTTCACTTGCTTTGTCTT